AGTATCTAAAATTGAAGCATTCAACTACTTGTCACAAAATAAATCAAAATAAAGGTCAATATGAAAAGTACACTTTTCTTTTTCAAAACAAAAATTGTGTCTTTCAGTGATTTAACTCCATTAATCTTAACTAAGTTGCAAATTTAGAAAAGAATATATAATTATAAGCAGGCTTTGCTGCACCTCAACAAGTCAAATGACATGTTGAAAATCTAGAGGTAATTTAGCATTACAAATGTGAACTAAATCCATTACATGAAATTATTTTATTCCAATTATTATTTATACTTTGCTAGTGTTATAGGAATTGCAAATAAAAGAAATATAATGTGGCCATAAGAACTGAAGCCTACTAGCAGATATATTTATTGGCAAAGACTGGTAGTAGAAACCTCAAATCTCTACAAGTTACACAAATCATACAAATGATTTGATATGACAATTCCAAATGGTTTATAGTATAACTTACAGGAGATTGTGGAGGTCCTTTGCCTGTACTCTGGCCCCTGAAAATAAATCAGGCACAAATGTAATTAATAATTCAAAATGTAAACTCTTTAAACCAATAGGGTACATTTGGCGCATAAATTCATCATTGCTTATGAATCCAATTCACATGACTTCTCACCACCAACAAGAACCCCATACTTTACTACCAAAATAATTACAGTAAACAGACTTCCTAACTCAACTAAGACAGACATACCTTCCTTTCCACGGGCACAACTTTCTGACAAAGCAGTGCATGTACTCATCCTCTACAAACATAAAAGTAGATGTTGCTTCAATGGACACAAAGTGTTACTGGCAGATGCACCCAAGAATTTTATGTGTATGAAAAGAAGCTTAGAATTGATTTGCTTTGCCTCAAATCCATGTTTTCTCAGCTTTCTACATTACTTTATCTAAATTTGGAATAACATTTTGCACAATTCATCAAAATTTTCCAGCCAATTTAAAATAAGTGGGAGATAACTAGGTTATTCAATCAGAATAGCAAAAGGAGCTCCTTATATTAAATATCCCAATGAGCTCCTTCATTGCTATGCTCTGCTTTCTGTCATAACCAGAATGATCACACACAAAAAATACCCAACCCCTGAGAACACAGGACAGACAGAAACCATGATTTTGTTCAACCTTATAAAATTGATGCATGGCTCAGCAGATGTTATTTAGTCCTGCTCTTTCTTAAACCAAAGATTTATACTATGAAATAAAATAAAAGAAAAAAAGAAAACAACCACCTTTAAGCAGCACACTGGGCAAAACTCATTTCTGGAAGGCATCACCACTCATATATACAGGTAGTCCTCAACTTACAAGAGTTTGCTTAGTGACTGTTCAAAGTTATAATGACACTGAAAAAAGCGACTTATGACCATTTTTCACACTTATGACTGACTGTTGAAGCATCGGCATTGTCACCTGATTTACATTCAGATGCTTGCTCACATTTATCATGGTTGCAATGTCCCAGGGTCATGTGATCACCTTTTGCAAACTTCTAGCAAGCAGTCAATTGGGAAACCAGATTCACTTAATAACTGTGTTACTAATTTAACAACTGCAGTGATTCACTTAACAAATGTGGCAAGAAAAGTGGTAAAATGGGACAAGACTCACTTAACAAATTTCTCACTTAGCAACATAAATTTTGGGCTCAATTGTGGTCATATGTTGAGGACTACCTGTATAAGGCAGTTCTTTTAATTAAGCACACCAAGACACTGCAATGTCTGAAAGTAGTTCTGTTGGATTCATGGTTTTTCTGATGTCTTTTAATATTTTGTTTTGTACATTAGCGTGCAATTAAGTCAACCGAATTTACTTCAGAGAAAACATCGTTCCGATGCTCAATTGGCATCCGAAATTAATCCTGAAGTCTACTCCACAAGGAGTGCAACTCAGCCCAGGAGGGATCGTGCCCCCCCCCCCCCCAAAAAAAAGACAGAGAAGAGCCACACACATCCCTTCCGCAATCACACATACCAGAGATAGATGACTGGGGAAGATTCTAAGCGCGGGGTGGAGGGGGGCAAGTCTAACTGTATCCGCCTTCCGGTTTCAGCAAGGCGTACACTGAGAAGAGCGGCACCCAATCAGTGGCAAAGGAGCCCAAATCCGCTAATCGGGTCTACACATACTTCCCGCACCCCGCCGAGTTCTCCCGTCAACCCTTTTGCGGTGGGAACGAAACAGTACCTTCCCTTTCGGTCTTTGCCGCCAGGATCCCTTCCTTTCCTTCGCTCACACAAACCAGCGCACTTCGGTCAAGCCTTACCTGGTGCCGCTTCCTCCAGGGGGGGCTCCTCCGCCGCTAACCAGGGGAGCCACCATTGTGTCTCTAGGTCCGCCCACGGCCCCGGGGCTGAGGTTCCCGTTGGGGCTGGCCGGGGGTGGGTTGGCTTTACGGGAGGCGGCGGTATTAGCGGCCGGAGGCGGCGGAGGGCCCGAGGAAGGCGCAGCAGGTTGAGGGGAGGGCAGCGGCGGCAGCGGTTGTTTCAACATGGCGCTGGCGGCGGCGAGGAAAAGGGCCGGGCGCCCCTGCTCTCTCTCGCTCTCTCTGTCTCCTCTCCTCAGCAGCACGCGGTTCAAAGGCCGTCGAGCGAAAAGGAGGGCGGAAAAAAAAAGAATATAAAAAGAAAAAGAAAGAAAGCCGAGCGGAGGAGGAGGAAGGCAAGCGGGAACCCTTTGCCCCGTTCGCGCGTCCCCCGGGCTTTGACTTTAGGCGCTGCCGCTAAAGCGGCGAGTGGGGGGGGGGGGAACGGGAAGATGAGAGAGGGGAAAAAAAGCTATCCGTCAAGGCAGTCGCGGTACGTCAAGAAGCCCGGCCGCTTCAGACTCTTTTAAGCCAGACAACCCCGTGCGCTCCTGCCGGCCCGGAAGGGGAAACTGACTGGCTGGCGGGTAGGCTGGCAGGCCGGCCGTCGCGGAAACGGGGAAGGGTTGAAGGCTGCGAAACACTGGAAGGGGGGGCTAAAGAGAGAGGAGGCGGCGGCGGCGGCAGCGTTTCTGCCCCCCCCCCCCCCCCCCCCGCTTTCTGTTGGCTTCGCCTGGGCGCGCGTCAGCAAAACAGACGCCTGGAACGTGGGCCTCGATTCCCACCTGCTGCTGCTGCTGCTTCTGCCGCCGCGGGGATGAGTCCTCCGGGAGGACGCGCGCCGTTTGGGCGCTCCGTTAAAAGCCGGCGGCGCCTCGGGGAAAGAGAAGAGAGGGCGGAACAAGCCTTGAACCCCTTCAGGCAACGTGAGGGGAATGGCAAGATCGCGAAGACGGGGGGAGGAGAAGATGGGGGGAGAGCGAGGCCGCAAAAGAGAGAGAAAAGAGGGAGGGAGGCGGTCGTGAGATATTGGCGCTCAGGGTCGCGACGCGAGCGCTCTCAAACCCCTTCCTGCCGAGGGAAGTGGACGGCTCTGTCCCCTATCAGGCTCGCGCTTGCTTGTGAAGTAAGCAGAGGAGGGGGGAGGGGAAGGGCGACACGGATCCCGCTGGCCCGCGCGCACGAGAAGAAGTCAATCCGGTTGCTGCACAATGAGTCCCTGGGGAGGGCGGGGCCTTGCTCTGCGCCTGCGCTCTTCGCGCGCCCTCCTGCAGCGCACGTTCGGTAGAGGGGTTCCTGCCGGCCGCCGCGCGCGCGCGCTCTCCGTGTTTAGCCAATCGAGGAAAGAAAAGCGAGCCCCTTCAGTTCCTTGACA